TCCATCAAGCTTTTATTTTTGGGGAACCATGGCTTAAAGCTTCTCTTGTATTGATAAATGCTTCTTATTTATCAGTAGGATAAAAGAAATAAAAATGCTACTCTAAAATTGGAGTAGGATGGAGAAATAGGATTTACTTAAAAAAATATTTTCAAGATTTGTCATCACAACATTTTTTCTTTTGTCAAATCAACTTAAATAATTTATTTAGTTGAGATAACTTATTATTTTGAGTTTCTGATGATTAAATTAATCTCCTTCATTGTATTAACTCACTTTTTCCAGTTCAATCAACTTAAACATTTTAAGGCAACCCAGGTTACTTACTTTTTTAAGTTAAACCAACAATATTTTTTACAGTGTAGGCACATTTTTTTCACTCAGAAAATGCTAGTAAATTTACATAGATTTGCCAAGTAAAACCTAAACATATTTATCAGTAGCTTTAATTAGAAATCTTTAAGTTAAATTTACTTGGAATATGGAATTAAGTGAACTTTACAGAAAAATAAGTCATTTTTACTTGGCTAGTAAAAGGTTGACAATATCGATTTAGTTGAAATTTCCTTTGCCTTTGCATTACATTTCACTAAAACAATAATATTGAATTTTATTAGTCATTAATAGTATGTGCTTTACTTAGATCGTCAGATGTTTAGCATCAAGTGAATGCAAAGAACTCAATACTTGGTAGACAATACACAATGGCGGTAACGTTTGATGGGTCGTTTTTGTGTTTGAATGTGTCATTTTAAAATGAAAATGGCAAGTTACTAATACTGACAACAAAAATCAATGATAAAACAGTGTAAATACAGCTGGAAACCAGTGAAAAATGAACCTCATTAATTATTCAAGGTCCAGTGCATGATGGGAACCCCAGTATCAGAAAAGTTGAGTAACTTTTACTTAATTTTATTGAGTTGATATTTACACTTTCATTTCTTCTCCCTTGAATTAAGTACTGATATGGAATATCAGTCCTTACTTAGTTTTTTTTTATATTCTTGCCTGAACTAACTTTTTCATGTAAATTACATTGTTTTTTCAGTAGTATTTACTTCACCAAAAAATATTTTTACAGTGAATTAATAATGAGCTGCTCGTGTGATCTATATCACCTATTTTTGGTTTTATTTCCATGAATCATGTCTAGGGGATTATTTCACACTCTTTGTGTATCATTGTATCATTCCTCAGATGATAATAGTAAGTCTGATCACTTTGGAATTAAGTACTCAAACAAGTTGCATTATTTGAGGCATTATGCAAGTCTATTTCCCTAACTCCATGCAGAAGATTAATTTCATAAGACATGCTTTATGTTGGGTTATAGTCACTTTTTTTGCTTCTGCTATCATGTTTGACTGTTATCCAGCTGACTCTCAGTCTCAGCACACAGAAGGGCACAAAGGCCTGTGTTTTCTGTGGCCATGGAAAGTGAAGATCGGGTCCATGCAACTGTGTTACAGCCCTGATTACTGAGTAGGAAGAGACCCTTAACCACATAAGCCTATTGGGACGTCCACATTAGCCCTCCAAGTTAAAAACAGTTTGCACTGTAAACTCACAAGCAATTGATTCTGAATTGTATTGCATTTGTTCTTAGTTCCTTCATTTTTGTTTGAATTTTATCTCTGAGATTTCTCATTATAAGCAATAGGGTATGGGATAAAAATGGTTTCTCTGTATCGTGATTTTCTCATCGATTCTCAGCTTAGTTATATTTCTGCATATGCATGATAGAATTGTGTGCAAAAGTAAAGATAAGTTCTGTCTCAAGGACAGGACAAATCATCTGATTTGTTAAAGTGGAAAAAACGTCTTGCAGAATCTTTACAAATCGGAAGATAATTTGTGACATTGTTCAGACTTTCTGAAACAATGAGACAAACAAGATCTGTTCTCCACTTTATCTCACTGCTGTCTAGGAGAAACAATTGAGACATTACACAAATCTGACTTCCTATGGGAAGTTTTGTTTGGTCTGCCGGATCCGTGTTGCTTCAGGGTGGGCTTAACAGTGTGGTAGTTTAATTACATCATTTGTCTTAATGACCCAACTAATGACGATAAGCAGTAGCTGTAGGCACATTTAATGCACATCAATGCATAATGTCCAGCTTTCACCCCCTTTAATCAACCCTCTGGGCTTTTAAAATCGCCCACCGCATCCCAAACAAGAGCCAGATGGGAGTCCACGCATACCTCTGCCCTGAGGAAAGTCCCCCAGCCGTGAGGAGAAAAGCGCCACTCTCTGCTTCTGAAGACAAAGATAAATTGACCCCCGCAGCTGGTGCCGTCTCCCCTCAATCTGTGCTCAGATCTGCCTCAAGTGTTCGCACACAGTCTGGGCCAGTATTAGGTGTCGCGTATAACAGGTGTGACGGTCTTTAAGTCCGTTCTCATGGCAGTGGCTGACTTATGTTCTTTTGAATGGCTGTGGTCTTAAAGGAGTCATATCCTGCATGACTTGTTGTGCTACATCTTCGTTTTTTCATAGCCTTTCCACCCATAGATATGTATATAAAGGCTAGATGTGTTACGGCGGAGTTTCCATCGTCATCACCGGCGGCCATCTTGTCACAGACAAGCGTAAGATGAATGGTCAGCACGAACACAAATACTTTTATCTCGTTGAAATCTTGACGGATTTACAAACGGTTTGGTTTCTTACAAACGTTACTAACGTGGCTATAATTATCTGGATGATTATTTATTTATTTATACACTTTTTATTTATAAGTATGCAGTGCCATAACTACATCTCTGACGTTTATAACAAAACAAACCGTTTGGAAATCGGTCGAAAATTGAGCAAGTTATGGTCATTTAAATAGTACATGTACCATTAACACAATGTTACGAGTGAGCGAGCTGCCTGTGACAAGATGGCCGCCAGGTGCAGACGTCGACCTCCATTGGCCAGCAGCGTGGACAACATATCTAGCCTTTATATAGATATCTATGTTTCCGCCTCTCTCTCTCTCACCCTTATACCTCATGTCGTTTCCAAACCATAAGACTTTTGTTCGTCTTCGAAACACAAATAAAGATATTTTTATGAAATCTAAGAGATTGATGTCACTTCATTGACAGTCTACAGAAGTACCACTTTGATCAAAAAGTTAATAATAAAGAGATCGTAAAACAAATCCATATGATTGTGGCGGCTTAGTAAACATTTTCTTTACATTGCTGTATGTGATGAACAGATTAAATTTAGGCTCTTATTCACATATAAACATTGATCAGCGAACATAAAGACAAGCTCAACCGTACTTGATACGTGAGAACAAACTTCATCAGTTCTTGCTGAAGCTCAAACGTGCTGCGTAACACGAGAATGAACCTCATTGGTTCTTGGTGAAGCTCAAACGTGATGCGTAACACAAGAATGAACCTCATTGGTTCTTGCTGAAGCTCAAATGTGATGCGTAACACGAGAATGAACCTCATTGGTTCTTGGCGAAGCTCAAACATGCTGCGTAACACGAGAATGAACCTCATTGGTTCTTGGAGAAGCTCAAACGTGATGCGTAACACGAGAATGAACCACATTGGTTCTTGGTGAAGCTCAAACGTGCTGCGTAACACGAGAATGAACCTCATTGGTTCTTGGAGAAGCTCAAACGTGCTGCGTAACACAAGAATGAACCTCATTGGTTCTTGGAGAAGCTCAAACGTGTTGCGTAACACGAGAATGAACCTCATTGGTTCTTGGAGAAGCTCAAACGTGCTGCGTAACACGAGAATGAACCTCATTGGTTCTTGGAGAAGCTCAAACGTGCTGCGTAACACAAGAATGAACCTCATTGGTTCTTGCTGAAGCTCAAATGTGATGCGTAACACGAGAATGAACCTCATTGGTTCTTGGAGAAGCTCAAACGTGCTGCGTAACACGAGAATGAACCTCATTGGTTCTTGGAGAAGCTCAAACGTGTTGCGTAACACGAGAATGAACCTCATTGGTTCTTGGAGAAGCTCAAACGTGTTGCGTAACACAAGAATGAACCTCATTGGTTCTTGGAGAAGCTCAAACGTGCTGCGTAACACGAGAATGAACCTCATTGGTTCTTGGAGAAGCTCAAACGTGCTGCGTAACACAAGAATGAACCTCATTGGTTCTTGCTGAAGCTCAAATGTGATGCGTAACACGAGAATGAACCTCATTGGTTCTTGGCGAAGCTCAAACATGCTGCGTAACACGAGAATGAACCTCATTGGTTCTTGGAGAAGCTCAAACGTGATGCGTAACACGAGAATGAACCTCATTGGTTCTTGGAGAAGCTCAAACGTGATGCGTAACACGAGAATGAACCTCATTGGTTCTTGGCGAAGCTCAAACGTGATGCGTAACACGAGAATGAACCTCATTGGTTCTTGGAGAAGCTCAAACGTGATGCGTAACACGAGAATGAACCTCATTGGTTCTTGAACATCAAGCAAACACGACTGAACTTCTGTTTACCGCAACTGATGTGTGAGTTGATAAATGTTTATATGTGAATAAAAACCTATATTATCTATTTATCATATAAAGCGATCATGTCTCTTCAGAAAATTTGGACTAAACCAGAAAATTCAGATCTCTTTATGAACTTTGAGGTGTCAAAGTCGTAGTTGTGTAGACTGTCAATGGAGGGACAGAAATCTCTCAGATGTCATTAAGGTATATCTTATAGACCATTTCACAAGATGTAAACAACACTGGTTCAGAAGCACTTCCTGTTTCAGTTTTTTAACACTACATAAAAGCTGGGATAAAATACAACCAACAGAACATTTAAAACTGAATCAAAAAGTTAAACAAACATCTTTAAGTTGTTTTCTCTACATGTGAAATAAAGAAAACAGTTACAAACTGAAACAGGAAGTGCTTCTGGACCAGTGTTGTTTACATCTTGTGAAATGGTCAATAGATCACAAAAGGTCAAGGAAAATCTGATTTCTCATGATATGTCCTTTTTTAATTCCATCTGTCTGTGTTCTTCTCTTAGTCATGGCTGCGGATGTACGGCTACCTCCCTCAGGCCAGCAGGCAGATGTCCACCATGCGCTCGGCTCAAATCCTGTCGAACGCCATCAGCGACATGCAACGCTTTTATGGGCTGGAGATCACTGGACAGATGGACATCGACACCATAGAGTAAGAGACTCAGTCCATCACCTGATCTGTTTGAGCTACTACCAGTCATCGTCAACCGTAATCAAACAATTGATACTTCCATCGCATTAAACCTGTAATTAAAATGAAAAACAGAGTTCACCTGATGGACAACCTTCAGGGAATAGGCTATTGGTTATTTAATGTCTGTGGAAGTAGTTTTCAAGCTGAAGGATCCCATGGTCTTGCATTATCAATGTTAACTTCACTCTCATTTTCCCAAAAGCTGATTGATCGAAGTTGACCGTGGAGAACATCGGTCCCAATAGTCTCCGTGATCGACTTGATGCTAAAGGAAGCCAGTTTGATTAGAAATGTCCATAGACAACAGTTTACAAGCGATTCTGTTACACCAGTCTCATGCTAACAGATAATACTGAAGTAATTCAGTATTCAGTAAATAAAAAATTGTCGACAAATATCTTTGTTGTCGAGTAGTAGTTTGATCTCACGTGAGTGACGTGACCTAATGTAAGGGCGTGCAATATCGCGATTTGACCGCTACGGCGCGTTGGCGCTAGAGTGTAATGCAGCCCTTTATAAATGCACGTGCGGTAAAAGAAAAAAACAGCGCGAATTATGACGGAGTGCAAACGAATCCGAACTAACAAGGTTTGGCAAAGTTTTACAAAATTATTATATTTTAATAATAGAATATTATATTATTATAATTACAGCAATGTGATGATTTATTTTGCATATAATAAAGCTTGAATGAGCTTAGGAGTCAGAGCTGTTTATTATTGTAACACACTATTATTACTTGACTGTATTTTGTTCCATAATCATAAAGACTTACAAAAGGAGATGTTAGGAATAATATCATGGCAGTTACTTTTTCTTTTTCATTCTGTAAATTAAAAGGTGAATGAGAACATATCTGTCAGCTCAATTCTCATGTATAAAACTATTGTAATTTTATATCTATAATAATGGTTTGCAGATTAATATTTTACCCTTTTTGTGTCCTGAAGTAATGACCCCTTTTCTGTTTCAGTTCTATGAAAAGCAGTGGGCTTATTAAACAATATGCTTTGAGAGCATTTGTGTGTGATTTGAGTTAAACTTAAGAGAATGACCTGTTTGGTTGGCTCTATAAGTTCATTAAAACCACTATTTCAGAAGCTGAACTGATTTAAATTTTTTATATTATAGTAAGAATATGTATAACTCAATGTTTTAACTAATTGAAAAAGCTGAATAACCGTTCCAAACTTAATGATTAGCTGGCAAAATAATCGATGATTAGTCGATTAATCGTTCTGATAATCGTTAGATTAATCCACTATCAAAATAATCGTTTGTTGCAGCCCTAATTAGAGTGCACACCAACAAATGATATTGTTCAGTTTATTTGTTTAAGTGTGTGTGCATTTATGCCGTCTAATTATGCACAACACGCGCAATCCTATGCTGAAATTCAAGCCCTGTAACAGCAACAATATTCATCCACAGCAGATGGAAAGAGTGAGTGAGGAGAGGCGGGTTTGTGTGTCACTCGCTGTTGGAGAGATGAGGGAGAGCAGCTGGTCTATGTACATGTACTGTATCTATTCTGAGGCATTGGTAGTTTTTCAGATATTTTAGTATCGATATGTATATTTTTGACAACATTACATTGTACTTTGTTTATTACTTCAGATGCCTTTTTAAAAGAGTACAATTGAAAAATGTATATACAATTCAAGTGGCCAGTAGGAGTGACTGTGTCACACGCCACTGCTGAAATCCACCAGCATTTAGCGGGTGTTAATGTCAAGTTCAGCTTTCTTAACGTGGAATTATTTTGTGAGTACTTTTCAACACTAATCCCTCATCTGTTGCTGTCTTTTTAGGGCCATGAAAAGACCTCGCTGTGGTGTCCCTGACAAGTTTGGGGGTCAAATCAAGACCAATGTACGACGGAAACGTTATGCCCTTACTGGCCACAAGTGGGACAAGACCCACATAAGTTTCAGGTGGGTTTGAATTTGACTATTAAGTCCATTTTCCGAGATTTTGATTTTCCTTGCGTAATGTTCTTCCTGTGTTTGCTGTGGATGCAGTATTCAGAACTACACGCCTAAGATCGGGGAGTACAACTCATACGAGGCCATCCGAAGGGCCTTCAAAGTGTGGGAGAAAGTGACGCCGCTGACATTTGACGAGTTTCCTTTCCATGAGGTCAAATACGGCCGTCGGAAGGAACCGGATATTATGATCTTTTTCGCGTCGGGTTTCCATGGTGACAGTTCTCCGTTTGACGGAGAGGGGGGTTTCCTGGCTCATGCTTACTTCCCTGGACCGGGGATGGGGGGAGATACTCACTTCGACTCAGACGAGCCGTGGACCATCGGCTCGCAAAACCTACAAGGTGAGTCGGAAGAATCTGTGTGCTTTATAGACCCCTTTTGCGCCGACGTCACAGTTACGTCACAGCGCTAGCTGGAGGCAAAACAAAGTGAAAACTGGAGGCGGCCAATGCAAACCAGCACAGATTCGGCGACATAATAAGGAGCTTAAATAATTGTTACTATTATTAAATGTCATCTTGTTGTGTTGTTTGGTGCAAGAATTGATGAAAAAGGAATATGCTGTATCTGGACTTTTATTTCTAGAAAATATTCACATCATTAATATCGCACTGTTATGTCACTCTTTACATTGTCGTCTTCTCTGTGCTGGCTCGGCAGAACTGCGGATCGTACACGCAAGTCTTGTACAGGACCATATAGGCATCTAAAGATTTATATGCCCTCAGTTTCTATTTACGATCGGTTTCTCTATTAGGTAGGTGTAGAAGTCAGGCCACTCAACCGAGGTAACGTAACGTTAATCCTGTCAGATCATCCATGCATTGAGTGAGCGTGTAGGCGGCTACAGGTCGGCCAATCTGGTTCTGTCCGTTAAAATTAACTTTTGGAAATAACAATCGCGGTCCTGGACACTGAGTGACCTTACACATTAAGATAATATCGGATTTTCTCCAGTCATTGTTAAAAAACAAGCTAACAATTCTTGCTAACTAGCGTTAGTGAAGCGGCCAGATGGATCTTTCTGCCTCCACCTAAGCTCCGCCCACAAAAAAACGTCACCATGTTTACCAACTGTAAAAGGGTCTATAGATTGCATAATGTGTAATATATGTGAAATTATATATTCATACACTACCGTTCAAAAGTTTGGGGTCAGTAAAGCCTAGTTCACACTACATGATTTTAAAATGCCGGGCTGAACTGTGCGGTTCACACTACATGACTTGCTCTCTGTGAAATGAGAAGTTGTTGAGTTGTTCACACCACACAACAGGAGGTAACACACTACACGAGTTGACAACAACTCTGTCACCCAACGATTCTATCTTGTCTACAAACCACGTTTTGTCATGAATAATCACGCGATAAAACGAACCAGAAATGACGCGCGCCAATACCCAGCGAAAAATACTAAGAACACAACACGCGATTATGGACGTCAGACAGAAACTAGTGCCGCAAACCGTTTGCGTGATGATTTGCTCTGAGAAAAAACGCAAAAAAAGAAAAAATTAGATTTACCCGGTGACCTCAACCCATGCCTTGCTCTGATTGGCTGGAGCTCATAACATCACTGAGGTTGAGTCGTGCGACAGCTCTGGATATCTAGCAGGCTAGATATTTTTCTGGGCTCAATGTGGTCTGCGAGCGCCTTTAATGTGTTGTTGGCCCTTTCATACTAACAGATTGGCGAGCTAAGATGTATAGTAACGAAGTACTGTACTTAAGTACTAAAATGCTGTATCTGTACTCTACTAGAGTATTGTTTTTTCTCATACTTCTAGTTTTACTTCAGTAGATATTTTCGATGAATTTAATACTTTTACTTCGATTTTTTTTAATGTTCTGCTAGTTACTCATTACAATTACAAACATTTTACGAATCATTCGTTGCAAGTTGGCTTTCATGCTACCTAAATCACACGCCAGTTGTATAGGGTAATGGTATTGATTGACACACACATTGACAACTAATGCAGGGGTTTTCCTGCAATGACATATTTTTGACTGCTTTCTTTCATAATTACATGACACAATACTTGGACTTTTACTTTTAGTACTTAAGTAGTGAATTTTAAACTAAACTACTTACAATACTTAAGTACAAAAAATGTTGAATACTTTAGTACTTCTACTTAAGTGTGGTGCTTAAAGAGCACTTGTACTTTTACTCAAGTCCGGGTTTCTAGTACTTTATACATCTCTGTTGGCGAGCGTTCATCCCCCGCGATTTGCACGCGATAACACCGTGATCTGTCGGCGAGCTCAACAATTTGCAAATCGCGCTTAAAATGTGATTAAAATCATGTAGTGTGAATTAGGCTTAAGGTGTTTTTTTAAATGTTTTTGAAATAAGTCTCTTATGCTCACCAAGACTGCATTTATTTGATAAAAAAAATAGAGTGCCAAAGTTACGATGTCACTCTGTAGGCCAAAACGTGGAAGTGAGTTAGCATTTTAGCATTACGGTTCCCTCGCTCTAAAGTCTATGGGTTTTTTGAATGGGTTTTTGCTAAATCGCCTGAAATATGGTCAGTGGTGAACAAAGCCTCTAAATATTTTCACGTTTTGATCTATGACATAGAACACACATTTATAACCTGCTGGTGGTTTTTTAAACTTTATTGTGTCTGATTGTGTTTTTTAAAAACTTTATATAGGCTTCAAAATGTATACATTTCGGGTTAACTTGTAAAGATTATCTTGATAGACAAAACGTGTAAGGGAACCCATGCGCCGCTAACTTCCGAATTGTCCTACAAAGTGACGTCATCACTTTGGCACTCTATACAGTAATATTGTGAAATATTATATAATATAAATAACGGTTTTCCACTTTAATATATTGCAAAGTGTAATTTATTCCTGCGATCAAAGCTGAATTTTTAGCATCATTACGCCAGCCTTCAGTGTCACATGATCCTTCAGAAATCTTTATTATGGGTGGGGCAACCTGTCAGTCACATGAGATCGACCAATAGCAAACCACTATGAATTCCCCATGGACAAAATGAAGCCCTGAAGCCGTTTCACTTGGATACGTCACAAGACTATTAAAACCGAAGTTGTGATAATACAGCCCCTGTTTCCTAAAGTAACTCGGAAAAGCCTCTTTGTCTTTAAATGGGCCAAAGGTCGTAGTTTTCAAACAGTTTAAAGGAATTATTCCATTATGACACATTTGATTAATCACTGACACACTGTAACACTGAGAGAGAACTCATCACGCAACTTCAAAAGGAATCTCGAGGATTTTCCAGAGCGAATTTCCTATTGGTTTGTAATGTCTGGCTACAGGATCGTCATTGTTAGCTACAGTTGAAGTCTCGGTCAGCGTGTCACAGCTGTGAGGAGAGATGTCTCCTATTGCCTTGAAGTTGCATCTTTTACCAGTCGCGACCGTCAGACGAGAGCAGCTTTGAATGACGAGTGCATTTGTCTGTGAAAGCCGTCATTGATTGAACTGTCTGAAAGCATCAGGACAACCAGTTCAGCGCTTCTCTTATCTGCACACTCATTAGCCTTAATGGTGTTGCCTCTCTGAGAGAGAGAAAATACATGAAGAAGCAACATTACTATCCGATGACTTCATACAGCCTGCATTAACACTGGCTTATAATGGACACACTCAGTATTAAAGGGAAGCAGTCAATCGTTGTCTGTCCCTCCCAAAATCAGGATTTAAGAATCACATAGAGCCTTTTACACCCGCAGAGTCACAGATCACTATGACAGCTGGAAAATGGAGACAGGATATCATTAAAATCAGTCACAGACTGAGTGCACTGTCATTGCTAGTGTTTCCATTAATCGTGTGCAGATAAATGCATATTTTCTCCTTTCATATGAACTGAAACGCCTAAGTGAGAGGAACACTTACTACAGTATGCATTACAAATCTGTACCCATGCAGGACATGATGATTTTCAATCGGCAAGTGGCCTACACTCTCAGAAAAAAAGGTACAAAAGCTGTCACTGGGGCTGTACCTTTTCAAAGGTAAACTTTTGTCCATTTTAGATGCTAATATGTACATTTCAGGTGTTAATATGTACATTTTAAGTGTTTATATGTACATTTTAAGTGCTAATACGTACATTTTAGATGTTAATATGTACATTTTAGGTGCTAATATGTCAATTTCATGAGCTAATATGTCCATTTTAGGTGCTAATACATTTTAGGTGGTAAAATGTCAATTTTAGGTGTTAATATGTACATTTTACTTGATAATATGTACATTTTAGGTGCTAATATGTCCATTTCATTTGCTAACATATACATTTCAGGTGCTAATATGTACCACTAAGGTACCAATATGTAACGACAGTTTCACTTGTCGCCAGAGGGGGCGTAGTTCTGCAAAAACTCAGAGACTTGCGCAATGCAACTTTAAAGTAACTTTTTCTTTTATCATTCTTGCTTTAAAGAAGAACCCTAATTTTGATGTTTTGACTAACTCACCAAAGCACATGTAAAGTACATGATTATAATTTTAAGTGTAGTGTGTTATATGATTTTACAGAAAATTTAAAACCTGTGATCTCAATACCATGTGTAAACAGGGCCATAGTGTGAAGACCATTTTAAAACCTGAAACCTTTTGTGCAATGGGAAGGTACCATAAATGTTAAAGGTTCCTCATGGTACCATCAATGCTAGTAAAGGTTAACTTTTAGGAGTGTTTAGCCTCCTTTCCACCATCAGAAATGGTTACACTATTACAAACCGTTCTCGGCCCGCATTTCTCGGCAGTGCTGTAAAGGATTGGTCACTGGCTACCAGTTTCTCTGTATTTGGCCTAGGATGGTGTTTGAGTGAAGTAAACAAGTTTAAAAATATATTTTCATCCCTCACAACATGGTCACTATTTTACATCCCGCATTGTTGCATTTGTATTACAATCCAAAGAGCTTTGTTATCACCCACGCAGTGGAAAATTAAACCACATCCGTACCAGCTGTGTCGTATCGGCACAGAATAGCAACGAGAACAGTTTGGTTCAATGGTGGAAAAGCGGCGTATGTCCTAAATATAGCTTCTCTTCCTTATCTACTGCAAGACCAGCGGCGATTTTATTTAATGTGCACACTTAAAGGGATAGTTCACTTTGAAATTAATTTATGGTATGTTTGGTATGTCTTTGTTTCCACAGTATTTTCAATTTTGATATTTTTAGGTCAAACCGTTCTTGTCTGTCAGTCATATAATGGAGGTCTATGGTCACCACCTCAAAGAGCATGCACAGAGAAGTCCAAACTAAACGTGATTTAATGACTCGTAAATGTAAGTACACATTGATGGCCTAAGACACGAAACGAGCGGTTTGTGTGAAAACCTCTTGTGTTTTTACCTCTTGTAATCACAGCCACGTCCAAGTGATCTGAGGGCGCGGGCGCTTTGTGGCTGTTGGTAACGAGATAAAACGATATAAATACTGTTCGTTTTCTCACACAAACCGCTCGTTTCGTGTCTTAGGCCATCAATGTGTACTTACATTTACGAGTCATTAAATCATGTTTAATTTGGACTTCTCTGTGCATGCTCTTTGAGGTGGTGACCATAGACCTCCATTATATGACTGACAGACAAGTACGGTTTGACCTGTAATTACTGCGGAAACAAAGACACCTACATCTTGGATGCCCTTGAGGAAAGCTAAACCATACCAAAAATTAATTTCAAAGTGAACTATCACCAAAGCAATATGCTGTTGATATGCGTTATATCGCGTCTCCTCATGCCAGAGTTCTCATAAAGTCTCCCAGAGCGAATGCTGTTGTATCAGACATCAGCTCTTCTCATCCTTGCTGACCATTACTGTAGCTCTCTCTTATACCTCAGCCTGTGATATTTAATATGTATCTCCTCCAGGTAATGATCTGTTCCTGGTGGCCGTACATGAGTTGGGCCATGCCCTTGGACTGGAACACTCCAATAATCCTTTGGCGATTATGGCTCCTTTCTACCAGTGGATGGACACGGAAAACTTTGAGCTGCCTGAGGATGATCTCCGTGGGGTCCAGCAGATTTACGGTAACCTGTGATGTTTTAATTTTATTGTTTATTATCTCTGATCAAGAGGGCAGTTTAGCTATTGGCGTAGCGGTTGTGCAACATTTAATCTGGTCTGCCGCATTTAATTTCCGCGTCCCGTTCTCTTCTGTTCTCCTTATCATCTGGCAGAAAGTGTTTATAGACAATATAGATATACAGCTTTAGTGTCCTGGAGCAGCGTTATTATATTCATGTGTTCTTTTGCTTCGTTTACAGTAAGCAGGTTTAGTGGTGTTCAAGCTTTACACAGTTTTATAATGTTTGTTTTTGTGGTAGATTGGATTTACTTTGCCCTTGACCAGGCCATGTTCCTTTTGAAATACGCTGGTCTTTGTGGACTTTAGTAATATTTATTGAAGTTTTGCATGAGGGAGTTTCAGCTGTGAGGGAGAATTGTAGGCATCCTTCCCAGTTTTAGAAGAAAGAACTCGTGCTCATGTCACGGTGAATTCGTTAATCATTTTACACATTATTGGTGTTTGTGAAGGCAAGCATCACTATTATTTTTCATACTTAAAAAGAAAAAAAATAGGTTTGGAGACAGGAAATGAAGCCTAGTTTTTGAACCATTAGGATTTCGAAATGCGTTCAGGGTCCATTAATTCTCACTGGTCTCTCTCTATATATTATCATTACTCATTGCATAAATAAGTTAATGTAATACTATAATATTTTTTTGTTTTAATCTGCATTAATTGAATACAGTTCAAAAAATACTACCATGTTGTATAAAAAGTTTATTAATGAATATTTTTTTGTTCAAATGACCATAATTAGAAAGTTTAAGGGAAATCGTCACAGTGCAAAATCAATACAAAAAGCTTAATTTGCTTTAATCAAAATATATTATCTTATTTTTGGAGATTAAATATGACGTGAGCAATATCTTGATGCTTTGTGAATTTCACAAACATCATTTCCACACACACACCCACCCAAAGTGTGCCAAGAAAAATCCATCACACCACCAGCAACCTGAACCATTGATACAAATCAGGATGGATCCATGTTTTCACGTTTTTTATTTATTTATTTATGCCAAATACTGACCCTACCATCGGAATGTCTCGAGACTCATACCAGGCAACGTTTTTCAATCTTCTATTGTCCAGTTTTAGGGAGTCTGTGTGAATTGAAACCCTAAAAGTAGTAGTAGTAGTAGTAGCCTTTATTGTCACGTAGTCACAAGTACCAGTGAAATTAGCCATCAACCTATCCATCCATCCTAAAAGGTCCAAAAGCTGTTGCTGTGGTGTTAGCTTTTCAAAAGGGTGAATATTGGTACCTTAAAGGTACATATTAGTAGATAAAGTGTACATATTAGTAGTTAAAAGGAACAAAAGTGTACCTTTTGAAAAGGTACTGCCCCGGTGACTGCTTTTGTACTCTGAGTATAGCCTCAGGTTGCTGTTCTTAGCTGACCGAAGTGTCACCGGTGTGTCTTAGCTCGTCTGCTTCAAGATTTAACATGTTGTGCATTCAGAGATGCTTTTCTGAAGATCTCGGTTGCTTATTTCAGTTACTGTTGCCTTTCTATCAGCTGAACCTGGTCATTCTCCTTTGACCTCTGGTATTAACAAGGCATTTACACATGCAGAACTTTGTCGGACCATTCTCTTTAAACTTTAGATTTCTGAATTACTCAGACCAGCCCGTCTGGCACCAACAACTATGCCACTTAAACCTCCTTTCTTTCCCATTGTGATGCTATATTATCTTGAATATGTCTGCAGGCCTCAATGCATTGAGTTTCTGCCATGTGATTGGCTGATTAGATAAAACTTTTGCTGATAATTTACTCACCCCCATGTCATCCAAGATGTCCATATATTTCTTTCTTCAGTCGAAAAGAAATTAAGGTTTTTGATGAAAACATTCCAGGATTTTTCTCCATATAATGGACTTCAATGGGAACCAAACGGTTCGAAGTCCAAAAGACAGTTTCAGTGCAAACTGCGAACTGTTCAAAGGGCTTTACACGATTCCAGGCGATGAATAAGTGTTGTCAAGTGAAACAATCGGCCATTAAAAAAAAACAAAATTTAAGTTTTATAAGCTCAAATTGTCATGTGATGCGCGTTTGTGACTCTCCTGTTCAAAATGAACAGATCTTTTCCCGAGTCAATTCGTTCATTGTCAATTCGAACCAAATGACACGATAAAAGATTTGATAAACGAGTTCGAACAGGAGAGTCACAAGCGCACATCACAGAACAGAGCAAAGCGAGCATTTGATTATAAAACTTAAACTTTGTTTTTTTTTTTAATTGAGTGATCATTTCGCTTGATAAGACCCTTATTCAACGTCTGGTGTCGTTTAAAGCCCTTTGAACAGTTTGCAGTTTGCACTGAAACTGTCTTTTGGACCTTGAACTGTTTGGTTCCCATTGAAGTCCATTATATGGAGAAAAATCCTAGCTATTATATTAGCTATTATGTTTATAATAGTCTGAACTAAGAGGTTGCCACAATGAGCTGTTATTATTAGTACAAATTCTGAAGTAGTTTTGTTTCTTCCACCCTTCCTTGTAGGACCCCCGAACAGTTCTCCCACTCAGGCTCTCCCCACCGTGACCCCTCGGCGCCCTGCCCATCCGGACCCCAGGGTCCCTCAGCCTCCTAAAACCCCCCCCGGAGCACCCCCTCGCCGGCCACCGGGGCCTCGCACCACCGAACGCCCCGATCACTACGGCCCGAACATCTGCGAGGGCAACTTCGACACCGTCACCATGCTCAGGGGAGAGATGTTTGTCTTTAAGGTGAGTTATATAAAAGCTTGATTACATGCAACTAACCCTCAGCCAAATCCTTATTCTACCCTAACCCCATAAGTACATGATATTAAATAATATTACTTGGTATAAATACACCTTAAAATAAAGTGCAACCAAGCTTTTTATAGTAATGAGAATTATATGTCGCAAACATGTTTTTGACAGGCTTCGTAAGATTCACTCAAGCGGTGAAACTTTAACAGTCACAGTTCCAGGTGAAAGACCTGAGACACAGGTTGAGTCCTGCTGAGGTCGTCCTGCTCTCAATCAGGCTTTGTTGGGCAATGGGCCGTAAAAACCCTTGTGCTGGTCTTTGTTACGAAGCAGAGCTCCATAAAGAGGACAGGAAACATGTATTCGGAGTCTGGAGTTGATCATCGGACTTCATCTGCTCTGCTCCTTTTGCTGGAGTTGCGGTTTTGTGGTCACGTCATGTCATGTGATTTGCTCTCGCATGAAAGAAATGCTCTCTGTGGCAGAGTAACTTTAATTTCTCTGAAGAAAACAAAAAAACTAAAAACATACCACATCATATGATCTTTCTTTTTTTGCCATTAGATGAAAAAGCACATTATTTTGCTTTAGTCTTGCTGTTGGAGAAGTTCGAAGAAATGTACAGGACACTCACCTGAAGGATTATTAGGAACACCTGTTCAGTTTCTCATTAATCACTGAGTATTTTTACAATCTGCTCAGTTACTGGGATTTTCACGCACAACCATTTCTAGGGTTTACAAAGAATGGTGTGAAAAGGGTAAAACATCCAGTATGCGGCAGTCCTGTGGGCGAAAATGCCTGATTCAAGCTGATTCAAGCTGATTCAAGCTGATAGAAGAGCAACTTTGACTGAAATAACCACTCGTTACAACCGTTGTGAAGCCACAACACACACAACCTTGAGGCGGATGGGCTACAACAGCAGAAGACCCCACCGGGTACCACTCATCTCCACTACAAATAGGAAAAAGAGGCTACAATTTGCAAGAGTTCACCAAAATTGGACAGTTGGAGACTGGAAAAATGTTGCCTGGTCTGATGAGTCTCGATTTCTGTTGGTAGAGTCAGAATTTGGGGTAAACAGAATGAGAACATGGATCCATCATGCCTTGTTACCACTGTGCAGGCTGGTGGTGGTGGTGTAATGGTATTCTTGGCACACTTTAGGCCCCTTAGTGCCAATTGGGCATCGTTTAAATGCCACGGCCTACCTGAGCATTGTTTCTGACCCTTTATGGCCACCATGACCCATCCTCTGATGGCTTTCTGATGGAAAATTGGTTTCTTGAACATGACAATGAGTTCATCAATATGGTACCTATCAATATGGGCCAACATTTCTAAAGAATGCTTTCAGCACCTTGTTGAATCAATGCCACGTAGAATTAAGGCAGTTCTGAAGGTGAAAGGAACTTTTTTTATTTCTAGATGTGTGAAGCCACGGGCAGACTTTACTGGGGATGTTACACCTTAGCACAGTTTGTTGGAAAAATACATTGACGTGTTTCTTCTTCAGATGTTACTGTTTAACTGGTCGCAGTAGTCAGGTTATCCATTAGACAACAATCAGATGTCCTCGAGTGAAGAACCACTCCTTAGTAATCTGAAAATAAGGCCGCTCCTCGTGTAACACAATACTACAAGTTAACTCATGCAAGACTGTGTTCCTCCATGCACGTGTGTCTGTTACGATGAGGTGTTGGGGTTGAGGGAGAAAGCAGGATAAATTTAGAGCGTGTTGGCCGCAGAACGGGCTCTGGTTTTAATTTGGGCTTGGTTTGGAAGTTGGATCTCTTTCAAGGTCCTGGTGGAGAGCCAGAGTGAGTGTAAAGGATACTCTGAGTTTCTGTTCATGATCACTATTAGCACAACTCATACTAAAGGCCCTAATGAACAGCGAAATTATTTTTCGTTCTTCTCTTAGGGGTAAACAGAAATACCTTTGCAGTGGTACTGTTAGCTAACATCACTGCTGGGTAGGGTTGGGTAACGTTTGAATATGAACGATTCTGATTCCGATTCCTTGTTTCGATTCCGGTTCCTAACGATTCTCGATTCCGATTCTTTTAAGAGGCAGGGTCAAAAAATTTAAGCTAACCTTGCTAACCAACGGCCTTTCTGAAGGAAATACTCCTTTTGTCACAAATACTCCTTTTGTCACAAATTTTGCATTTTGCCGAGATTTCGTTATTTTTAGAAAAGTGAAGCCACACTTTGGATCGCCGACGTAAGGTACTCATGTTCGACTCGCGTGGTTATGCCAACACTTCCGGTAGACGCTTCTTCGTTGGTGTTGTTCAGCGGTTTCTTCTTCCGCTCGGCGGACTGTGAATATAGAAACTAGGAATCGAATTTTTAACTTTTGAACGATTCCGGGAAAAACGAAAAGTTAGTCCCGATTCCAATCGATACTCGATTCTCGATACCCAACCCTACTGCTGGGAGTGACGTTTAGATGAATATGTAAATGTGCTGTGAATTAACACACAGGTGAGAAAACCGCGGTTAAGAAAGCATCTGATCATAGCGATTTACACCAGCTCTGCAATTCGGCACTCTAGTAAAGTTACGTTTATTTATATAACTCTTTATACCGTAGATTGCTTTAAAGCAGCAGCTGTGTTCATGTTTTTACTCACGGACGTCTGACCTCGACGGACTCCGAGGAAATGAACCGAAGAAGATTTCCACGTCAGAGAAGGCGGAGCTTCAGAGCCACACCCACCTGTTATTATTTTTAACATGCTAGCAAGATGGGATTTAAACGTTGTCGGCTGAAGTCCCAAATTTGGTTTGAAGATGGAAAACGTACCAAGCACAATGTTCTCCCACCATTCCTGATTTCTAACACACTTATGCTACGTTCACACCGGACGCGAATAGTGCGTCAAATTCACGTCTACCGCGTCTAGTTTGACGATTGACCACTTTGTGTTAATTCGCGCGTCAAGAGCAAAACTGACGCGGGTAAATAAAAAGTTTGAAGCGAAATTTAAAGTTTGAAGCGAAATCTCTCTCACGTCCATACACGAACTTATGCACATATGTTGATTGTCTTTACATCATAATACTATTTCATATAATCTAGATATGGAATGAATAACATTCAATACAAAATGAACATGTCTCGTATATAGAAATAATGTTTTAAGTGATAAAATATTTGCTTTGTTGTGCATAATCCCACCATGCATTTAGTTATATACAAAATAATTTATTGAAGCATCCAGACACTTCACCACGTGAGCAAGCAGCTAGGCTCCTGATTGGTTAACGCGGTGCGAATTCACGCCAAAGTTCAGATTTTTCAACGTGGGCGGCAGACGCGAATTCGCGTCAAACGCGTGAATGCACAAATGGCACTAACTAAATCATTCGCACGTAACGCTTAACTCGCCAGACGCTCAATTCGCGCATTTCGCGCGAACGAGCTTCCGTGCTGCGCTCCACGCCTCATTCGCGCCGCAGGAATTTTTCACGTGCGTAACGCGTCTTTGCATTGACTTAACATTGAAATCATTCGCGCCTGACGCGCTATTCGCGTGCGGTGTGAACATACCATTAGCTGTCAGAGCAGAAACTAAAGCTGTGTTTTTCCGTCATCCACGGTCATGTTTATATGTAAATTGCATAAGCTTATTTCGGCCATTAGATCTAAAGATCTGAATAAACTCATACATTTACCCTCCCCTCGAAGAAATCGGGACAGAAAGTGGGCTGCAAATAAACTTGACTACCATTAGTACAGAATATACAACCATCATCATCTGGTCGTTGACTCTGAATCGGGTTTCTTGCTTCAGGGCCGCTGGTTCTGGAGAGTGAGGAGGAATCGAGTGCTGGATAACTACCCTATGCCGATCGGACACTTCTGGAGGGGTCTGCCGGGAGACATCGACGCCGCATATGAAAGGCACGATGGCCGATTTGTGTTTTTCAAAGGTATTTTCCCTTTCTAACTGCACTTAAAAACTGATATAGCTCTGTGCTGTTAAAAGTTAATATAGACCATAAAAATGTTATATTCGGGAGAGAGATTATTACGCAGGCTGGCAGAATTACATCACATTTGAAGTGCTTTTTACATCAGAACAAGCCATTCATTTTTAGTACAGGAAGTGTCCTTGATTTCCCTCAGCCGCTCGTGTATTAGTCTGATGGATTTTACAGGTAGAGTTTCAGAGACATGGCTTTTTTGTTTAATATATGGGTTTATGGGTTTAAGGTGAACGCCAAAATTGAATTTAGGAGCTGCATAATTCTGGAGATTGACCATAAATTTTGTAAGCATAATGTAAATGCTTTTACTCGCATTAGCTTCACTTCAATCACAATAAGAATTTTTGCCTTTATTATTATTATTTGCTGCTGAAAATTACAATTAATATTACATTAGTAAGAAACCCTTATAATGAAAATTATATACTTTTTTTCTGGCACATATATAAGTATTTTTTAGCATTTTGCATGATTTGAAAATTACACTTTTTTTTAATTGTTGGGCCAGTAAAAAGTTAGCAATATTTCTCTGCCTCCACCACCAAAAATATTTTATTTTTAGCATTGTGCAATTTTTTTGTTTGTTTTTCACATAATTTTAAGGTCTTGTGAAAAAGTTATGTAAACTGTCCTACTACCAAAATAATATATTTTTTATATTTATTTTATATATTATATTTATATATTATTATAAATTAATATTATATTTATATATTATTATTAATATTTATTTTTTTATATATATTTTTTTATAATTGTTTTGTTTGTCAGATTAATAAACTGATATATTTTTTTGTTAAAAGTTTTCCTAAAAACATTTCAAATGAATGTTGCCTAATGTTTAAAAAAAAATCACTAGAAATTAAACCTAAATAATGTAACTCCATTACTACAATAAATTCATAAACATGCTTTGCTTTGTTTTTTTCTAACGCCAAGTGGTGCAAATATTACCGTAACACGTAACTTCAGCACCACACTGTTTCCTTCAACTAAAACCCATTAGGGTTTACAGAAAACAAAGACTGTGACCAACAAAAGCTTATGATTCTCACACGTTTTGTTCATCATGGTAATCTTCACAAATGGACACAACTTTTATGAATTTTGAAGCGTAAATACTCATTTACATTAAGCTTTACACACTGTAAAAATGAATATGCTTTATCTAATCAATAGAATTGTGGCAACAGATTACAAGCAATATTATTATTAAATTTAACAAATTAAAATTGAGTAATAATTAATAAAATTATTCCTGAAAAGTTAACCATTTAAACTGAGTAAAGTTCACACCAAAAAATTTAACAAAAATATCTCACTAACAGACAGACGTCAAAGATTAATTAAGAACTATTTATTTTATATTTCCAACATTGAAGACACCTGATGTTAACATTTTAAAACAAACCTAAAACAAACACTGATCACCATAATGGTGACTTCAATTTATGTTTTTTTGCTTGTTGTTGTAAGTTTTACTCACTTTAAATAGTTAACTTTTAAGGAATTAATTTGATTAATTATTACTCAATTCTAATTTTTCTATTCTACTCAGTTCTATTTTAAACAAAAACCCATTAAAAAAAACAATGACTTCAGTGCTAAAATGCTAACTCGTTTACGGATTTTGTCACACAATAATCGTCCTGCACCACTCTACTCCAACAACATCCATGCTAACATCTTGATAATATTTAAATCATCTTAATGTATGACTGGGAACCAAATGTTAATATTTGCACGTCCAATGAAAATCTCTGGTGCAAAGAAACTCAGTCCTGGTTATTATCAAGCCCTGCCAGAAGATTGAAATCAAAAACGGCCCAGACCACAGTGAGGTTTCCCACATTAGTCCTACAAATCAACACCCCCTCAAACAGACATCTAATGACTTCCTACTGAAGATTTCTGCGAAGATGAATGCGTATGCGCTGTACTTTTGAAAAGCTGGCTCCCATAAGGAAATACTGTAGGGCTAGTGATGTCATTGGCAAGGCCCTTTTTAAATTTGGATATCTGCCATTTGAGAAAATCGGGAGACCAAACATCTTGGGGAGCAACATCTGTTCTTGGTGAGGCGAGGTCATTGCGTCAGCTAGCGGTTCTACCAGATGCTGACGGCAACGGTTGGACTTGGATAAGGGCCCGGTGAATCAAACGGGTCCATGAGGATGGTGCCTCGGTGTCTGCCATACTGTAAAACAATAAAAACCGAGGCTTATCCCGATGTTTCTGTAACGGCTCCATGCGATGCTCTCTGTTGTCACTTTAACCGCTAAAATGTGGGATTGGAACCAAACATCTTTTTCAGTGTTGTCATGCAGTTATGTGTGTTCTAATAGAGAGTAAACCCCAATCTGTGGTTCAGTGCTGGAGACTGTGTCAAAGGTTGGAAAGTCCCTGTACATGCACCATGAAATCCTGTCACGCATTGAGTGTTGCTGCCTCCCCCCTTCTTGTCTTTTCTACTTCCTCTCTATTGTTTTCAACCTCTGTTCTCTTTCTTTTTGAACTTTTGAGTGTTTTATCTTTCAACCTGTTTTCTTGTAGTAAGTCGATATGCAGGGACGTCCCGTCCTCAATTGAAATTCTGAGTTTAATTTATTGACATATAACTCATGTTAAATGTGATAGTTCCATCCTAACATCTACTTTAATATAATATATTGTTAGTCCTGAGATTCTTCGCGTCAGTAAGTAAATACATACTATGAAATGATTGTACTATAGTTTAGTTCAGTAGGGGATTTGTGGCACCAAATAATATTTCTGCAGTAGTTATAATCCATTTATTTACTTTTTGAGAATGGACCTGAAAATTTCTAACATAAACTGGCATAATCTTCAATGATTTGGAGCACAGACTTGAGTTTGGTCTCCTTTTAAGAAGACACTGAAGTGAAAAAAGCTTAAAGTGAACTTGAAAAAGGGTGTGCAACTTAAAATTTATTGTTATGAAAACTGCACAAAATGCAATTTAGTTTTTTTGTATGAAATATATATTTTCTAGAACACGTTTTACTCTAGCACTGTGACAAGCCATAAATTAAAACAAGTTGTGTGTCCAAATTTGAGGTCTATGTCTAAAACAATTAGCTTTCGGTAAGAATTTGTTCAAATGTTTCCAAAAGATGAAATTCTCCTCCCATTCGTTTCCAATGCACTCATTTTTTTATGGCGAATAATACAAGTGACTATTTTTTTTAAGAACCATTTAACCCTTTCGGATCATGTCCATAAATTATTTATTTATTTATTTTTTAACACAGCAGGTGTCAAAACCTTTACCACGTTTTGTGAGATGGTCCTCACTGCAGAACACGAAATCCAGGGGGAGAAGTTGGATCCAGATCCAACTCCTCCCACCTTACATATACTTAATCCTACCCATATCCACCCCCTGATCCCTAACCCCACCCCTAATCTTACCCATCTCCGCCCCTGATCCCTAACCCCACCCCTAATCCTATCCATCTCCGCCCCCTGATCCCTAACCCCACCCCTAATCCTACCCATCTCCACCCCCTGATCTGTAATCCCACCCCTAATCCTACCCATCTACGCCCCTGATCCCTAACTCCACTTCTAATCCTACCCAACTCCGCCCTCTGATCTCTAACCCCACCCCTAATCCTACCCATCTCCGCCCTCTGATCTCTAACCCCACCCCTAATCCTATCCATCTCCAGCCCCTGATCCCTAATCCTACCCATCTCCACCCCCTGATCCCTAACCCCACCCCTAATCCTACCCATCTCCACCCCCTGATCTGTAATCCCACCCCTAATCCTTCCCATCTCCTCCCCCTGATCCCTAACCCCACCCCTAATCCTATCCATCTCCAGCCCCTGATCCCTAATCCTACCCATCTCCACCCCCTGATCCCTAACCCCACCCCTAATCCTACCCATCTCCACCCCCTGATCTGTAATCCCACCCCTAATCCTTCCATCTCCTCCCCCTGATCCCTAACTCCACCCCTAATCCTACCCATCTCCGCCCTCTGATCTCTAACCCCACCCCTAATCCTACCCATCTCCACCACTGATCCCTTATCCTACCCATTTCCGCCCCCTAATCCCTAACCCCACCCCTAATCCTACCCATCTCCACCCCCTGATCTGTAATCCCACCCCAATCCTTCCCATCTCCTCCCCCTGATCCCTAACCCCACCCCTAATCCTATCCATCTCCAGCCCCTGATCCCTAATCCTACCCATCTACACCCCTGATCCCTAACTCCACCCCTAATCCTACCCATCTCCGCCCTCTGATCTCTAACCCCACCCCTAATCCTACCCATCTCCACCACTGATCCCTAATCCTACCCATTTCTGCCCCCTAATCCCTAACCCCACCCCTAATCCTACCCATCTCCACCCCCTGATCTGTAATCCCACCCCTAATCCTTCCCATCTCCTCCCCCTGATCCCTAACCCCACCCCTAATCCTAGCCATCTGCACCCCTTATCCCTAATCCTACCCATCTCCACCCCTTAGATCTGGATCCAACTCCGCCCCCTGGATCTCTTGTACTGCAATGAGGTGCTACTGAGTTTTGTACCATTTCGATGGAAGTAAAAATCCTCCCCATTTTATACAATATTTATTCAAAATTCACAAAATAAAGTCACAACTATCCTCTCTCTTTGTGACCATTCACCTGTAGGAAACCAGTACTGGTTGTTCAGGGAAGCCAACCTAGAGCCCGGCTACCCTCAAGAACTGATGGATTATGGCCGAGACATCCCATATGACAAGATCGAGACGGCCATCTGGTGGGAACCTTCTGGCTTCACGTACTTCTTCAAAGGAGACTGGTGAGGGAATAGTCTTATTTTTTGTTCCACAGAGAATCCTGCCTCTAATGTTTGTCTAATCGTTCCCTTGAGCTGTTTTGCAAAATCCTCCTTGCCTTGTCTTACGGCCCTGACTACACACTAAGCCATCGTTGTTGAGCATCGTCCAGCCCAGTTCCTTCGATGTGTTCTGCACTAGTTGGGCATCAATTCTTTCCATTAAGTAGTTTAAAATATATATTTTATTATTTCCTTGAGAGAAAAACAACCGCTTTAATGCTTATTGGTGTTAAGTCTCTTAAAATCACATCATTTGACCTCTTTATAATTTTTTATGTATATATATATACATTTTAAAGTCATACAAAGCTGGCAAAGTTTAAAGCCCTTGATTTGGGACAATGATAACATCCTTCAGGGTTTGTGTTGCATTAGCATTTATGATACAAATGCAAAGTGAGCACCTTGAAAGTGGTGTGCACTTATGATCAGATCACCTGCTATGGATGTTAATTTCATATGTAAATGAGGCCACTGTGCTTTTGCTGAAGCAGATGCATCAAGGAAAGTCCGAATGAAATGCATTGAACCGTCTTTGATAAACTACAGGTACTGGCGCTTTAATGAGCACTCCAGAGCCGCGGATCAGGACTACCCTAAACCAATCAGTGTGTGGGGCACTTCTGTGCCGTCTTCTCCCAAGGGGGCTTTCCTCAGCGATGATGGAGGTGAGTGTGTGGGGCTGAGGGGTCGTCTAGAGCCGGTCACCTAATGTACTAGATGGATGGGGATCAAACAGACGGTGAAACAAAGAGATGTGATTTCAGAAAGTAATGCAATATAACATCACTGAAAGCTCTTTCCCATTTAAGGGAATGTTCCTGCAAGTCAAACTGTATTAATAGCATCTGTGGCATGATATTGATTACCATAGATATTCATTTTGATTTAAAGGAATAGTCTTAATTTGCTCATTCACATGTAGTTTCGAACCTGTGGACCTAGGGCTGCACGATTTATTGTTTTAGCATCGATATCGCGATGTGCGCATCCACAATAGTGCGATTTCATTTTTTTTTTTATCTTTACTGTACTTATATTCCAATTTGGTGTAATTGTCTCCTTTTTCTCATGCTGTCATCTGTTGTTATTTGAAGTTTGTCAATAAAAAAAAATAGGCTACTATCCATCAATAAAAAAAAAAAATAAAAAAAATAAAAATAGGCTACTATCCATCAGTAAAAAATAAAATAAAATAAAAATAGGCTACTATCAAAAAAAAAAAGGTTGTGTCCGTTTAAACATTCGCCTAATTCAGTTCTCTTTTGCGTCTTGATTAACACATAGACCCAAAATGATGCCAACATGCCTGTCTCAGCGAGAATCCCCATAATGAGTCATGGCTTACGTGAACGTAAACGGTTGAGAAAGAAAACAAATGCATATCATTTTTGGATCTGCGCATTTGATCTTAAATTGTGTCATTAATGTGGATCAAACCATAAAATACAAATATAAAGTCACTTTTGTAGCTTTAACAAAGATTACTTCTATTTAATTGATACAGTTAAGTCTATGCAGTGTTATTTTACATTTGATTATTCAATTTCCGTACTTTAATACGGTTAGATTTACCTGAAAAACATAAAGCACTGTTTATAATCGAAATTTAGTTTGTATGCGGTGATGCACAATTTTCTCTCTCCAACTTTGTGTGTCACACAGCTCATACTTACTTCTACAAGGGTTCAAAGTACTGGAAATTTGACAACCACAGAATGACGAGCGAGCCGGGCTACCCAAAGTCCATTCTGAGAGACTTCATGGGCTGTAATGTGGACCTCGATCCTGACATAGACGCCGGCGTGGACCCGGGACGCAAGTGGCCTGATCGGCCACCCTTCAACCCAGATGCCGGCCGAGACAAGGACAAGGACAAGGACAAGGACAAAGACAAAGAAAAGGATAAAGACAAGGAGAGAGACAACACCAATGACGTGGACTCTAAAGAAGAGACGGAAGAGAATACGAATGATGTGGATGTGGTTCTGAAGATAGATGAAACGCAGCGTACCATGAACATCATCATGGTGACGGTACCCCTGGCCCTGGTGCTGTGCATCTTGGGATTGATCTACGCTATTATTAACACACTACAGAGGAAGGGAGCACCCAAGTATTTAGTCTACTGCAGACGTTCAATGCAGGACTGGGTTTAAACTCTCAGAATGATCTCCGATCCCTGTTCACACGCACACACACACACACACTTTCATGTTCACCCTTCTTTTCCTTTGCCATGGTGCTTTCCTAACATGTTGTCTATTTATATCAGAAAATTTGCACATTGATTTTGAATCAGTTGTTTTTAGGAGTTTTCTTAATTTCGGTTTTTAGGATGCCACAATCTAGATCTCCAATCACTGCGTAAAAGATGAACGGGAAGTCTTGCAGAGCAAAAAAGTGAGGGAAAGGAAAGCGGATAAAGGAATATCTCGCTTAGGAATATTTGCATCCTTTTCTCAGGACTCTCAGCTGTGGTTTTCCAAGTCATAATCCATCATCATAAAGACTATAAGGACCGTGGCCGCTTCTATCATAACTGGTTGGTGATGTGTTGATATACAGCGGGGTCCAAACGTCTGAGACCACAAGGAAAGTCTGAGATTGAGAGACTAATTTAAACCTGAAAAAATTCATGATTTTTAAATAAAGCAACACATTTTTAATCATTTTTGTTCATGCAGCTAATTTAAAGCTACACTGTGTGATTTTTACCTCCATCTAGCGGTGAAAAGGCATATGACCATCCAGTGAATATTAGTTTCTGTTCCTCTCAACTCCTACGGTGGCCAATGTAGTCCAAGATTAACATTGCTTCCGGTTCGACCTCGTCCATGAGTGTTAACGCGAAAGGCGAAGCTTGAATTAACGGGTATGTCCCTCTTTGGCTAATGTACTTTCAAGATGGAGGGGCAACATGGCGACCGACATTTGAACCACTTACCCATATGTATTTTCAATGGCATATTATACACTCATATGAACGAAGTAAATATACATTAATGAGCACATATATTTGTGTTTTTAGCTAAGAATAAACTAAAAGACTTACACAGTGTAGCTTTAAGATCAAACTGTCGTTCTAATAGCATTTTTAATGTACGAAAAACATTTATTGCATTAAAGAAATGAAACTAGTGGTCTCCGACTTTTAGACCTTTATTTTTGGAGTCCGTTCGCAAGCAACTGGACCTGGTTAGTCCAATTGTCCTTGATTGAATTTTACCTTTTATTTCTTTTGGTGTCAAAATAGGGACTTTTCTCTACGTTTTGCATTTTATTGCCTCTTGTTTTAACATGTTTTATGTGGTTCCGACTTTTTTCTTGCAAGCTGGTGTGTTTTCATCTCCAGCAGTGCCGTGATCCTGTGGCGATTATAATTTTTATTGTCTGAGGTTGGTTTCATTTACGGAGGTTGAAAAAGCTTGAGGCGTTGAGAGAGAGTGATTATTTATATAATGGCTTTGCATTGTTCAATCAAATGGAAATATGAAAAATAGAACTATAAAATAGCGTACACCAATTTAAAATGCGAAAAAGGCTTCTTGGGGGCCCAATTATAAATAAAAGCCTTAGTAGGGGCTCACTGTTGTAGCGAATGTAAGGTAATAGTCTAATTTCAAAAACAGCAGGGGGGTGAAAACCATTGGTAAGCTCCTCTTTCTCAAACCCAAAGCCTACCAAAGAATTGGCAAAGGTGGGGTGAGACAAGAGACGGAAAGGGTCTTTGCAAAAGGGCTTATCGTGTGTTTGTAGAGTTTGAACTGGATTATATTACAGTGATGGGGATATTTTAGGGGTGGGGGTGTAATAAGCAAACAGCCAGGAGTGGGGTAAAGCTCCCTGAAACATACTTGTACACACGTATATGATTTAGTTGTCTCAATTGTATATGTTGTATTCTCAGAATTGCCTCAAGGGGTGCTATATCAGACGTATATCAGCGTAAACGTTCTTCTATGGCCAGATATTCAATTATTGTCTGGAAGCAACAGTTTGGGAATCTTGCTGAGCAAGTTTTGGTTAAACTGTAGACGCGTTTCTAGCTAGCTACCTGAATAAAACGTTTAATGATTCTTGACAGTAACTCCAGGTTAGTGTATCCGACGAGACCTCACATTCACATCTGCGTTAGCATACTTGCTTAGAGTATATTTTTGTCCTCAGCTTGAGCCGCTTGGTAGATAGTGTGTGTGTAGCAATGCCATCCCGATATGCCACATTGCCAGGGTCCACTGCCAGTTATTTTTGGAGCGCATTCCTTGACCAGCAGAGGAAACAGGATCCCTGTTTCATTCACGACTTATTCATGCTGATGTGATCTACTAAGCAAGGCAAAGTAGACAAATTAGTCAAGTTTCCTAACATTGTAAGATATAACTGCTGTCAGGTACACTCTCAGAAAGAAAGGTACAAAAGCTGTCACTGGGGCTGTACCTTTTCAAAAGGTACACTTTTGTACCCAAAGGCTGCATATTAGTACCTAAGTGGTACATATTAGCACCTAAAATGTACATATTAACACCTAAAATGGACATATTACCATCTAAAATGGACATATTAGCTCATGAAATGGACATATTACCATCTAAAATGGACATATTAGCTCATGTAATGGACATATTAGCACCTAAAATATACATATTAACACCTAAAATGTACATGTTACCACCTAAAATGTACATGTTACCACCTAAAATGTACATATTAGCTCCTGAAATGGACATATTAGCACCTAAAATGTACATCCCAGATAGAAAACTGACATTGAATCAACGTGGAAACATGACATCGAAACAACGCTGATCTGACATTGTTTTGCTCATCGAATTAACGTTGAACCAACGTCAGACGCGTCATTCTTTCAAAACTAACGGAAAATCAACTTGAAATCAACGTTGTTTCAACGTTATGAAAGTAAACCAATTTTCGATTTTCATTTAGCTTTAGCATTTAGAATGCCGCGTCTGACGTTGGTTCAACATTAATTCGATGAGCAAAATCAACGTTGTTTCGATGTCATAAGAGACGTCGTTTCCACGTTGATTCAATGTCAGTTTGCTGTCTGGGATATCAGCACCTAAAATGTACATATTAACACTTAAAATGTACATAATAGCTCCTAAAATGTACATATTAACACCTAAAATGTACATATTAGCCCCTAAATTGTTCATATAAACACTTAAAATGTACATATTAGCACCTGAAATGGACAAAAGTTTACCTTTTGAAAAGGTACAGCCCCAGTGACAGCTTTTTTTCTGAGAGTGTAGGTCTGTGTTTGCTTTTATGTGGTGTTTGCTTAGTCTTGTGTCTAACCTACAGTACATGAACACAGCTAGTATACTAAGACAGGGAAAGCATTGAAAAACAAACCGCCGCCATTTTTTTTAAAGTGCCTCAGACAAAATCTGTCATTTTACCCTTCGCAATCAGCGAGAGAGTACCTCGCATTTTGTAGTGGAAGATGTAGACGTAGAGGAGAGAACGAAAGTGAGTGGCATTATAAATATTGCCCTGTCAGACAAGGTAGAGGAGAAAGCACTTGGATATATATTATTGGGAGAGTAGAGGAGACACAGGACAGTCATGATCGGAATGCTGTCACTGATGAATCCCACCGAATACCCTTGCCAGGCGATCCGCCCCTCCTCACGGTGCTCCTGTCGTCCGAGGAGATTTGGAGGAGAGTTAATCAGACATAAAAGCTCTCCCGTCCCTCCCCCGACGCCCTTTACCTTCTCCTCCACTCGCCCAGATCAATGAGGAATACATAAACAGGCTTGAAGGATATCTGAAACGTTCACTCTCAGGGGCTCACTCAAGCCTTGTTCCTTCTAATGGCCATTCTTTGGTTTATTTTATGGCCCTTTTCCATAATCTGCAACTTTATTTTTTTATTCAGGGCCCTAGTGGTCAGCTTTAAGTCCCTTTTGGCAGTCTTTGGCACGGCTGTAGGCTTTGGCGGCTCCTGGGAACTGGCACCACTGGTTCGGTCCATAATCCAGCCCAGATGTTATATATATCTGATACATTCACTGTACCACCAGAGTAAAGGTCCTTGCACACCGAGTCCGAAATTTTCGCACGTTAAAAAATAAAAAAAAAACGACAAAAAACGATTGCGGCTCGATTGTCATCCATAGCAAGCATTTTGAGAGTATTTTTGACGTTTCAGAGCCACCAAATGAAGAATACGAAACGCATACGAAAATTTCAGACTCGGTGTGCAAGGACCTTAAGGCCGTGTGTCCACCAAAGCGTTTTTCCACGCGCCTGGCGTATGTTTTCAATTGTTTTCAATGGGAGCGCCGCGTTTTTTAAACGTACCGAGGCTCTGAGCGTTTTTTTCACGCTGAAGCGCCGAGCGCCCAGCGTTTTTTACTAGTCGCTGGGAGTTGAAAAATGTTCAACTTTGGATAAAACGCAGCGCTCATCACTGTCACTTTTTACCCAGCCGTCCAATCACAGTGGAGAAGGGGCGGGACTAATACCACACCGACCAACTGTCAACATTCAAACTGCTGCGGATATTCTGTATCATAGCAACGAAACGTTTCAACGGAAAAAACTCTGCGCTGCCGAAACGCTCTCAAGCGCCCAAAGCACGGCGTCTTCAGCTGGATAAAAACGCTTCGGTGGACACACGGCCTAACTAAAGTAATTTGCATAAAACTATATTACTTAGTAAGTTTGTTTCTACACTGTTTTTGTCTGTCTTTTTTTTCAGAGATGATAAGGGTGACTAAACAAGATTGTGGTAGACAATGACTGATGAATAACCAAAACAGTCTGTTTATTAGTATGTGATAGTGTAGATTTTAAGGTCTAATATTTTCACCGTCGTCAAATCAACTCTTGGCCAAGTTTAGGACTGGCTCTTATAACAATGGCCCCTCTCTCTTGCTGCATTATTGTCCCGCACATTGCTTCTGGCCAACAGGAAGATAGACTGGGCCCTCGGCCAGGGCCACAAAGCTTCCTCCCACTAGCATTGCATACTAACAACAGCCTCTGTTCAGAAGGTGACCGATTTGGTCACACCGTTCACATAAACGCAGCTCAGGACCTCTGCTATTTTATGCAATGATGGGTTTTTCATCACAGTTAAGTTTGACCATCCAAACGGACAGTACAGTGACGCAACACATGCTCTGTGTGTATGTATATTCTCCTGATATAAACTTGAGCTCTGATCAGAGGTGCCTCTAAGAACATCCGTCCACACCATTTATTAACCAGACTGCAATCATTGATAGGTTACTGAATAAATAGCCAAAAAAATATGCTGTCTTCACCTTTGTGGAATCAGCTGAGCAGAATGAGACGGTGGTATTCACTGTCAAGGGTAGATTCAATATCAAATCAAGCCTGTTGTGTGACAATGCGTCTAGGCACGCACACCGTCTTGAAGGGAATCTCACTTTACTTAATGAGCCTTACAAAAACATGCTGTTTAAAACTAGACGGAGCATTTCAGACAAAATATGCAGTAGCAAATCACTAACATTTAAAACAATGCTGTTAATGTGCACAACGTTGTGCTGCAGTGTTTTCTCAAACACCTCATCGTCTTTATTAATGATGATAAAATTAAATTTAGATGGTCATATTTTTCAGTTCATATTTTTTCTTTTTC